TTTTTTTGAATTAGACATAGTCGATATTTCACTAGCAAGAAAATCTGACTGACATTGATGATGATATTTGAGAGCTTGATTAATGATGATAATAAAGAAAAGAGCAAGATAAAACTCAAAATAAGAAAACTAAATGCACACTTGAGTAGCTACACAATGTATAATGGATAGGTTACCGACATATCTGCTTCTATTGAGTATCTTTGCGACTAATCTAAATTGATTTTTCAGTTCACTTTCACTTCTATTTTTTTTCTTAGTATATAACTTTAGAAAAGATATCTATAATATCTAACGCATAAAACTAGTCACAGGTTGACAGGTTACGATACTAGTACCCTGCAACCTGCCCTGTAAAAATTTTCGTAACCTGGCCCTGCCCTGCCCTGTCCGGATAGGGCAGGGCAGATTACCTATACCCTGCAGGGCTCTATCCAGCAGGAACAGGCTTTAGAGAAAGCTTTTGCGCTCCAACTTCACGCAACTCTAGATTAAGATTTTTGAATATCCAGCTGTACTACTGGCTGAAAAAGTTATCTTCTATCTGGTCTTATCGTGAAGAGCTGTAGTTTTCTCAACAGCTGCTGAAACCAACGTTTCAATTTGAATTTTCCTCATTTTTGTGGAACTCACATATATTTTCGAAGAAAAAATAGTGAGTGTAAGTTTCAAGTTCGAGGTTTGGCGGCTCCCCCCCCCCCCCCCTTACAGACCTCAACAACTGCACACAAAAAACTTAAGCTTTACTTAACAATAGAAAAAGGCTTGAACGGTTTGAAGAATATGAATTTGACTGCTATACAATATTATAATGTTTTCATAATTATTTGAAAAAACTAATATGCACTTAACAAAATTCTTAATAGTATAATCATTGGCTTTTTTAAGAATTTAAACTTGTATGCTAAAAATCAACGGTGAATAGTGATAATAAGTATTAATCTGTCGTACCGATGATATAATCAATACAGGAAACATGATTCGATCTTTTTATTAGTGTCAGAAGGAAACAATATCATTATTGATAAATTAATTGAGATGTATAAAAGTATTGTAAGAATGGCTAATGCATATTAAGTGCATTATTGTGAGACTCGTATTTACGAAGTAGTTGATGATGAAAAAATTTTAAATAAAAAAAAAACAAAAAAAAAATGATTATTATCGAGCATATATCAACACTAATAAAAAAATCGGGCGCGCTCAAACGAAAAAGATAGTCGCAGTTTTAAATGTACAAATAAATAATAAAATATTGTTTATGTCAGTGATGAGTTATAAGAATCATTTTAATCAACAGAAATCTTTCAGTTTACAGATAACATATTAGGATAACAAGTCTAAAGGATATACGTGAGTTCCACATTTCAGCTCCTTTGGAGCTGCGCTAACAAGCTTTTACTGAACAAGGTATTACCTCATCAATACTTTATTTTGTTTCCAAAGAAAGATCGAAAAAAACTGAGATATTTTTTGCCAACCTAATTACTTTGCGGTCTGAAGACTTCGCAATAATAGTGGTTTATATTCGAAAAAAAAATATTCTTTTTGTCTGTAATGTATTTCTGACTTTTCAGTAGATGGTACTATAATATTTACTGTATTATTATTGGTTTTATTGGCCTGCTGCTGTATATTACTTGTCTGGCAACATCGGTGTGTTACACAAATACAATGTATACTTTTAAAATCAGAGTTAACGGACTGTCGTGTTTGTTACTATTATTATTTCTCTGATTATTTCCGACTTAGAAATCTTTCTTCAATATTCAGGAAAAATAGCGAGAATAATAGTTTTTTCCGAAAAGAATGCTAAAAAACGCTAATTAAAATAACTGATTAATTATTTGACATTTTGAAAAGTATGATTGACTAATTTATCAATTAGTTCCCTTCAAGAGAAGAGCCACTGCAGAGCTGTTCATTCTAGGTAGAGAGGTTGGATAAGATCGAGAATATTTATGACAGTAATAGACGAATAGATTCATTTTTGTAATATGGTTAATTTATTTCCATGCACTTAGTAATAGGATGTGTTATGGTACCTTCGATCGAAATAATCATTTAATAATTAAAAACTAAGACAAAGTACTCAGAGTGATATTTTCAAATGAAGTGAAGATCCATAATGGGTACAATGATCGTCGAGTCTTCAGACTATCAAATAATCTCATTCTAACATGACATGCGTAATTCGAGTCATAATATAAATGCAATTGCAGAAATTACTTATAATTTCAAAAATAAATCATAAGATACACTTGTAGTAGACTGTTTATTTATATTATTTATAATAAATGATATTTTGTGCGTAATTTGCAGTAAACTAGTCGCTTATATTCTTTATAACAAATGATAGGTAGTGAAAAAAGTTTTATCCAATAGTCGAAGTGACTACTACTCTTTTTTTGAACTCCATTTATATTATTAGTTGAATTAGACAGCTACTCCACTCTAAATCATGGAACTTAGTATTCGATACCCGTAGAAGAAGGATTTTCCAACTCTTTTCGAATGGTTGGATAAATAGATCTAACGTTGTTTTGTCATATTCCCATATGTCATGTCTGAATGCTCAATAATAAAAGCAAATCTATGTAAAATATGGAATATAGCTTTGCATCGCCGTATTTAGCCAAGCACAAGTTCTTGCCTTGAGAAAAGAGATACATTTGATTAAGAGGAGAATAGTGCTTCGTCAAAAGATATCCAATTTCTAGTTATTGCTTTGCTTGATTAAATGTGTTTGAACATTGAACCCATTACTGGTAAAAACGTATAACAATTCAATACATCAACTTTTTTTGTGAAACATGATCTGAAAGGAGTGTTGAAGTGTAAAGCGAGAAATTTGCCACCCCCCTCCCCCCCCCCCCCCCCCCCCCCCCCCCATAGACGTGACAGACCCATGGGAAATGGCTTGGATGCGAAATGAAATAACTAGTTTTCAAGGCTTACTCAAAGTACCATCGATCCATTCTTGGTTTAGTTTTGCTGCAAAAATTAAATAAAACATTCTAGAAGCCGGGGAGCGGGGGCAATTGTCTCGTCGCACTCCTTCTAAATTCCTTACAGCTCTTGATTGTAAATTATTGGTGAACCTTTCGATCGCATCGTTAGGTCGTGTATACATCGATTCTTACGTTCTTTAATCTTGTCCTTTTGCATATCCCTCGCTATGCTTCATAATCATAACGGGGGGTATGAGTCACCAATGGCTCCGGAGCTGTATCAACAACAGACACCGGTGCAAAACCGGAAACAGAACACTGATCGGACCACAACCAAGCGTCCTAGAAGTAACATTTCTCCGCCGGTTCAACAACAAACAGAAATTCTTCGACAATCAAATTCATCACAACATCTGATGACTCATCCAGCAACAAACTTGAAAATATCATTTCCACCGATTGCTGTCAAATTTAATAGTGACCAACAAAATTCGATCAAGGATATAACAGATGATCTAATATTAAAGTGGAAAAATCAACATGGAATTAATTTAACAATAACTGCACGTTTTGTTCATATGCATTCACTTCTTATATTTGCCGATGGCTCATCCACATTTGAGTCATTATTGGATCCGAATCGATGGCCAAGAACATTAAAAGATGTTGATATTGAGGTGAAAATTCCAGGTCAACTTCCACCAGCATATTCTCTTATTATTCAACAATTTCATCGCAATTGGAATGAAGAAGAATGGTTAATTGAATTACAACAACGTTATGCTTCGTTATATAAAATTACTAGAATGCGGATAAAGGAGGGATCTCCATTGAATGTTGTTCGTGCTGATGTTAAATCTATTGAAGAAGTTAAAACTCTCATTAGATCCGGAAAAATAAATGTTGGTAGTATGATTCATCCAGTGAAACCTTATCATTTACCAATACATATTAATAAATGTTTAAAGTGCCTACGACATGATCATACAACAAATAGCTATTCTCGGTCTCGTTTATGCCCAAGGTGTGCTGAAGAACATTCACTTGAAAATGGTTGTTCTAATCGTGAAAGGTGTATTAATTGTGGCGGTGGTGATCATATATCTGGTCATTCGGGATGCCCAATAGTTCAAGAAAAACGTCGTGCTCTTGTTGAACAATCAAAGAAAAAAAGAGCTGAACTCTTGGTGCTTGCTGAACGACAACAACATCAATTTGTTTATCAAGAACGTGATTATCCAACATTAAGCAATGATAACATGCCCCATTCATCTTCACATATACCACGTCAATCAGTAGAACCTTCTCAAAGATCATATGCTCACGTAGCCCAGAAACAACGCGAACAAGGTCCACAGATAAATATTGAATATACTTTATCATCTTTCCTAAACAAAATGGAACGTCGTTTAGACGAATTTTCTTCTCGTCTGTCATCACAACTACGTGATATCGAAAAGAAAATAAATATCTATTCTGATCGTCAAATTGAAATGGAAAATATTATCAATGAAATAATTCTTCCATCTATTCAAGAGTTAGGCAGTTTAGTATCACAATCCTCCAAGCATCGAAATGTTCAAGAAGATTTTAAAAAATTTGATAACAAAATAAAAGAAATATTATTGAACAATATGCATCAATTGAAATATTGCAGCCATCAATCAACATCTGATCACATCGAATATTCTGTAGCAAATGTCTCTCACTAATAATTCAATATCTCTGCAATTCAATAGATACAAATTCATTGAACTAAAAGATAAACTACTCCCATTATTATACGAACTTCTGAATCATCAGCAACAAATGGGAATTGAAATATTACAAGAATGTTGTTGGATATGGAGTTTTCAAGCACTTTCTCAGTTTCGGCAACAACAATATTGTCAACCTAAAATACCATCAAGTTCTCTTTCTATATTGCATTATAACATTCGCTATTTCTATTCCAATCAAGCCGATCTTATTGATATGGTGAATGTCTTTTCTCCAACAATAATCTCTCTTAATGAACTTGGTACCATGGTTCCGGCGAAAACAATCAAACAACTTCTCTTTCCTTACAATGTTTATTTAAAAGAAGGTACAAATTCACATGGTGGTGTTTTTCTTGCCGTAGACAAAAGATTGAGATGTCATTTGATAGAAATTAATGAACCGAATATAATAGAAGTTCAAATGATAGTTGGTGATCAGCAATTTGTTGTTGCAAGTATTTATTCACCACTTACAGATCGATTACCATTAGCTACTATGACAACCTTGCTTAACCACTCAAAAAATATTATCATCGCAGGTGATCTGAATGCCAAGCACCCTGATTGGGATTGTCCTCAGGTGAATACAAAAGGGCGTGATCTATCTAACTGGCTCATGGCACACAATTTGAATGTACTTAATGCTGATGCTAAAACATCACTGCGCTCCAACACAACAATTGGTCTTATTATATCTAGTGAATTCCCTGAAATATCAGAAAGTCAAACGCTAGCTTATGCAGGTAACGACCATCTACCTACGTTCACAAAGTTCTTATGTCTTAATGTATCAATGGATAAACACCTCGTACCTCGAACGTTTTGGAAATTATATTCCTCGATTCTTACTGTCATACATGATCAATTGCAAGCTGATCAAGAAATTTCAATAAATGACTCCAACATCACATACAAGTGGTTCATTATGTTTGAACAATTTCTGGCTGCTCTTAAACTTCGAGTAACAGAATGGAAAGAAGTCAAACGAAAACGACCATCAATTTCACCATCATTAAGAATACTTCTTCGTCACAAACATTATTTGCAAAATAGATACCGTCATACAAAACACGAAGAAGATCGACTGAGACTACGTTCATGGAATATTCTTGTTAAACAAGAATTTCGAGCTTATAAGCAACGAAATTGGGAACAATTTATATCAAATGTTGCTTCACCAAATCCATCAACATTTTGGAATACAGTGAAAATGTTGAACAAAAAGGAATCAATTGACTTTTCGGCATTAACGGATGGAAATACGGTACATAGATCCCCAGAAGACATAGTAAAGTGCTTAAGTCATCACTTTACTGAACGCCATTCCCCACCATCAATGAACATGGTCAATGTGCATGATAGAGAAGCTGATGAATTATGGAAATTATACAGTTTAGCCGATAAAGATGATATTAAATTAATATCCAGTCAATCTGATCTTCAATTTGATGAACAAGATATAACAAATACAATTCGATCATTAAAAAATAAAAACTCATTTGGTTTTGATCAAGTGTCTAACAAAATGGTCAAGCTTCTTCCGACACATCACCATCTTCTGCTTGCTCATGCTTATAATGATCTATTTCGTGCAGCTCATTGGGGCAAAGAATGGAAAACAGCTCGTACAATTTGTCTGAATAAAAGCGACCACCCAGCACCAACTGCAAATCAATTACGTCCAATTTCGCTGTTCCCAACATTCAGTAAAATATATGAAAGATTATTCCTTATTAGATTCAACAAATGGTCATCGAGAATGAATATTTTACCTGCTCAACAATCAGGTGCCAGATCTCATCAAGCCACTACGTCCCGAGTAAACTGCTTACTAGAGCAGATTACGCAGTCTCTACGGTACAATTCATTTACTCCAGTTGTTTATATTGATTTTTTACAAGCTTTTGACAAGCTTTGGCAACAAGGATTGCTACTGAAATTAAATAGATTTAACTGTCCATCGGCTTATCTTGCTTGGATAGCTAGCTATTTCTCTGATCGCACTCTTAAGATTAATTATGGTGGTGTTGAACCAGTATTGGTCAACGTCGAACGAGGTGCTCCTCAAGGTAGTTGTCTTGGTCCTGTATTGTATGTCATTAGTCATTATGATCTTACTCAGTATTTTGAAAATCCGGGTTATGTACATGCATACGTTGATGATATTGCAATTGCTTATGTACCATCAATTCATTTGAAATCGAAATTTCAAGTCGTCGAAATTGAAGAACGTATCAACAACGATATGCTGAAGTTGCTAAAGTACACGCACGATTGGCATCAACCATTAAACCTGAACAAAACGGACTTTGTTATGTATCATAAATCAGTTCAAAGTCCAAGGTTGAATATTCGCTATTATGGGGTGAAAATCTTGCAAAAGAACTGCTTCTAGTATCTTGATTTTCGTGTCGACGAAAAGCTCTCTTTTCGTGTTATGATTGATGCTCAATTTATAAAGTTACGGAAAGCTTATATGATACTAAAATTTATTCATCGGCAATTTCCAGCATTTTCGAAATTAAAAATTAAATTCTTTAACACATATGTATGGCCACACATGTACATGATGGCAACAGTTTGTTGTCTCTTCTCAAATACCTCTCAAGAACGATTAGCAGCATTCTATAGAAGATGTTTAAGATTGATCCATTATCTATTTCGATGTCCTACAGAAGATTTACAGCTTCAATTTCATTTACCTACAATCGAACAAAGATACAAAAAATGCCTCTTAAAACGTATGAAAAATATTCAACTTTATGAATCAATGCTCATCGAATGCACATTACAATACAAATACTTATACGACATGCTTTATAATCATTATCGAATTAGAGCACATATAAGACTTATGCCATCAGGCCGTCCAAACAAAAGACTCACATCTTTTCTTGATCAAGATTGTCGTACTTTTTTCGACTACCTATGTGAATTTGTTCTTACTTAAGTCATTCCTTATCGTTGTATGCGGGTTCTTTCCGAACAGTTGGTTATATTTTGTTAATCTATGTTTTTATGTTCGTAGTGTCTAGAAGCATTGTTTGTGATAAGACGGTCAGCGCCATATGGCGAATTCGTCATAATAAATAAATAAAGCGTTAAAAAAAATTAGAACATTATAATGATCGTTTAAATGATTTACGAAATGAAATGAATGACGGAGCATTAAAATCTATTGATTATATATAGGTGATAATTTAGCTAAATATCATAGACGATATGTTCCAACAATTTATTCAAATCTAACATGTTCATTATGTGACACAAGTATTTATGAACGTTATTTAGATAAAAAAAAATCGTTGACAAAGATTAACTATAAGTGGAGAAGTAAATGAAGCAAATAAACAATAATTAGATAAATCTTAAAAACAAATCCAATAGAAAAATCTATTAATACTGTTTATCTATTGTAATAAATAATAGCTAGTGGAATAGCACCACCATCGACCCGATATGGAATGTCTAGAACAAGAACTTGATCATCTTCATCCTTGACAATGTCTATTATGTGGTGAAAGAGCTGTTTATTATTTCGATCAACGACTTGATTCAATTTTATAATTTATTCCATTTAGTTATAGTCACTATTTTAATTCATTGATTTAGATTTTAAAGATTTTTTTTTCTTTTATATGAATAAACTCTATTTGATGATTTTTCAAGGATTTATTCTTAATTTCAATAAAAGAAGAACTAGATGTTTTTTTTCTTTCTTATAAAGTATTGTTTAAATATCGATCTAATCTTTTTCTAATGTTAAAGTGCACGTGAGATTTTATTGAGTAATTCAATAAGATTTTTCAATATTGTAAGGATGATTATGAAATAAAGTAAATGATTAGTTTTTGTTAATCTTAAATGTGAAAATTGTAGTTTTAACAAAAGTGCGAGATTAACAATTTGTTAACATGACTAATGTCGTTGAAGTAAATCTAGGAAAGAAAACAAGAAGAATAGAGATTGTTATATTTGAATCAATCCGCGACTTAACAACTAGAATATACTGAGATGTTTTGAAATAGATCTTCTATTTATCCTATTTCGATATAGTTTTATTTTAAATCAACTAATTTCGAACTTGGTAAATAAAGTAAAACAATTTTATATATAGATAACTGAAGAGAATGAGAAAAATAAAAGCAAGTGAAAAAGTGTTTGTATTGATCAAGTAAAAAAGATGATCTATTCAACAAATAAACAATTGTCCATTGTGATAAGGAATATTTATTGAACAATAATTTGAATATTTAATAAAACTTATAGATCAACACCAAGAATAAATGCTAAATATTTGTTTTATTTTCATTTTCTAGTCAATGCGTTAAACTTACGCAACATATAATTACAGGTTAATAACGATAGAAACTATTTATTCTAGAAGAAAATCATCTGTGTACTTATACAAAAAATTGTCTCAGTTTTTTTTTTGTATTAATGTTGTTCGTTGATTTGTTTTGTATTAACAACTATTGTATCGATTGAAGAAAAGGTTAATAGTGAATTAATCTGACAATAAGGTAAGTCGAAAAATAAAGATCCAACATATCTTCGAAGACATTGGATTCACATGAGAGAAAAATGGTCAAAATAATATTAGTAAGAATGATATGTAAGATATGAAATTTTCCACTATTCAAAAAACTTTTGAGTAAACAGAAATTACGTAGAATAGTGAGAAGTGTGACTGGAACGTTTTTAAGGGCAACAACTTCGTCAAGAGATCTCAATAGATAATATCTGTCCTGAATACTTGACGTGAGAAATTTATGAACTATAGGTGACATCTCAGAGACGTATTCGATAATTTTCTATTCTTAGTTATTCGAGGTGAGTTCAAACGAAATTTACTTGAAGAAGCAATTAGCAGGTTTTGGAAAGACATAGGTTTTTTCTTTCAAACATGAACCCATAAATTAATCAAGTTATTTTTGACCACCTTTGGTTTTGACCAATCAATCAACCTCACTCTTCGACAGTTCTTGGCCACGATAACCGATAAATGTATTTAAAGATGAATATCTAGAGAACTGTTGAGCATTAAACTGAACGATGTTGTTGTAGAGATCTCGCATAAAAACTGTTAGACTAATAATAATATTAACTTCCATCAGGTCTAATCATCGATTGAGGATTGAAGAGAGAAAAAAGCGACTCGCATGCCACCATATCGGGCCGTAGTTGTAGTATTTCCGTGCGAGTTTGTCGACAGGTTTCAGTGTCTTAGCATTACTCTGGAAAAGGCGACGAGAGTATGCAATAAATTCATTGAAACATTTGTGCGTACATAAATGATTGGCCTAACTGATCGAAATTTTGTTTCTAAGCTTCACTATTGGTGGAAATAAAACTAATTTCGATCACATTTCTATGCAGCTTGTTGAAGTCTTTTACAGACTGAGACAATATCTGTAAATACACGATTAGTTTTTTTATGCAAGGTCATGAACGATAGGAATCGTTGTTTGCCAGAATTGACATCGGTAAATGGATAAATCTTGTTGACCACTTGTTTTAACTAGTTGATGGTTTGAATATAATAATTGTCGTTAATGCAATCAATGTTAGGATCGAGTGACACTAGTAGAAAGTGGTGTACCATACTAGGAGATGGAGACCATTGTGATCGCTATGCTCGTATATTCATATAGGGTAGGAGAAGCAAGATGGGCAGTAGTTGTTTTTGATTTTTTCTCTTATCCATGGTATGCGTGACGTTTAATGAATGAAAAAATAAAATGAGTTGAATTTGTAGAGTATATTGATATTTTTTGTTTGCTGGATGGTTATATTTATTTTCAGTTGTTGTTAGTGTGCAAGTTGTTTTTCTCATTCGTTTCATTTGAGTCTTTCACTTCTCTTTCGTAATATGTGCTTGCCTCTACTGTCAAAAGACAACGAACGAATGGAAAAAAAATAATTCTTTGCAACACAATTTCATACTCTGCGTCATACGTTCGCATTCTTTTTATGATATCTGAAAGTTTTCTTTCTCATTCTCTTTATGTTGCTGGAATCCTAGTGGAAATCTTTACTGTTTCTGGATTAGGTTCATTGAGAGATCTAATAATGTTTTTGTAAGGATGATAGACTGGTTTTTTGTTGAAGAATACCTTTGAAGCATTCTGAGGAGGTTTCCACTGTTTTCAGATTGAGAATCCTGTCAGGAGTTCAGCAGTGACGTTATTCTAAAATTCTAGAATTCTAAAATTTTAGAATAAATATATATGAATTGATTTGATATTAGTATAGATGGAATTTTAGAATTTTTAGAATTCTAGATTTTTAAGATGGTGAAATTTCAGTATAAGAAGGATATTAGGGTGTGAGGTGCAGGTGTGGGTGTGGGTGTGATGACAAGATCTACATCCACACCCTCACCCACACCCTGCTGTGGGTGCTGCGAAAGAACTGGTCACAGAACGACTGGCCACGAATGGACTTCTCATACTACCACATTCATTACATCGCAGCTGCTGTGGGTGCCGCGAAAGGACAGGCCACACTACGCCATACATCATATGACAGCTGCTGTGAGTGCGGGTAGGGACTGATCGCGAAAGGAGTGGTCATAATATGACACACATGACATACCAGTTGGTGTGAGTGCCGTGAACATAGATGTAAAACTTTAAACTTGGTTTTAACTGAGCTTTCTAGTTTCAACTTTCAAGTATCAAATTTGATATTTCATGCACAAAGGAAGATACCCCAGCTTTGTGTCGATGTGGTTGCCGCGAAGGACTCATAGAGTGTCTCTGCCAACGTCATACGTGTCAAACCTGAAAGTTGAAATGAACTGTTCGGTAATTCCATGAATAGCCGCTGGATGGGAAGAACTTTTCTTCGTCGAACTGACCTTTTATATAAGGGACGCGGCGCATATGATGTCTTCGGAGAGTTTGTGTGGAAACTCAATTAAACATCGACGGAGGAGATGTAAAACAGACGTCTTTGCCAATTAATTCAATCCTTATAATAATAAAAAAATATATATATATATATAAAATGAAGACAAAATAAAATTGCGAAAAATGAAAAATACTGAACGAATAGCAAGAATGAAAATGCAAGATAAGGACGCCTCTAGGAAAATTAAAAAAGTTAGAATTCTTGATATTATACTTTCTATATTTGATACTAATTAGTATAATTTTCAATTTCATTTATAGAAAAATTCTCCTATTAAACAATCGTTACCACTGTTGAATTTATAGAGAAGAGATTTGAAGATTATCCCAGAAAGGTAATTTACTCTTTTCTTTTTCAATCAATTTTTTATTAAATAATATTCATCTTTTTACAATTAGAAGAAATAGAGAGTAGTAGAATAGATTCTATTAACTATTGACCAATGTTCATATCTAGACACTAAACGAGAATAAATTATTGATTACATATAATAGAGAAAGAAAAATAGTTCTTTTATTGATTTTGTTTCCAATTGATCATCGTTTGATATATTTTGCTGAGAATGATTATATATGTTTTCGTTCTAAACATTATTTCCAGCCAGTTTTTCGTAAGTATTGATATTGGAACTGTTAGTTTTTTTTCGTCTATATGAGAAAATCGTGAAACTTGTTTCGTTTGAAGATGAAACATAGAAGAAAACGGTTAGATTTTCATAATAAAAGAGATCGATTTATTGAAATAAAGTTTTGCAAATTTCGAATGTATAATTCGATATAATTCTAGTAACAGGGGTTTAGGGCAGTTGCTCGCTAGGACACTTGCTCGTCTGGACACTTGTACGTAAAGGACAGTTATTCGCAGGACAATTGCTCTCGAATCATATAGTTACAAGAAGGAAAAAGAAAAATTTCTGAACTTCAGCCGTACTTCACCGTATTTCAACCAAATTCAACGGTTTTTTAGAGTTATCTCTGAAATGCTTTTTAGCTTTTTAAGTCTACTATAAATCTGTGTCACAGAAGTATTGATTTGAAATCATTCGATATAAGTTTATCCTAAATAAAAGCCTAAATACTTTACGGTACTTCGCCGAATTTTACGATTTGAAGTATGGTAAAGTGGCGTGTGGTAAGGAAATATTGCTTTGTCTCCTCTTGTATAGCTAGCTAGTGGTAATGGGTAGCTAAGGAAATGATAAAGAGAAAATTCCAGTAGCTATTCTTATTCTTACTCTGATGTTAGGTCGTCGATCATCAAAGCGAAAGAAAGAATTCTTGATCAACCAACTGAAAGATCTGGTTCAAAATACAGATACAATCGTCAAGAATTATTTAAAATACATTCGACGTTTTTCTATGTAGAACTTTTTTGGTTCTCTCGTATTTTTTATTGTTGGTTATCGTCCTTAAAGATTATCTTTGTGTCTTATTCATATATATATACAGTGAACTAGTTTTGCAAGCAAGTGTCCGACGAGCAACTCTCTGTTTCCCCTAGTAACGATAGTAATTAAGTTATTGTCTTATTTTAGAGTTGTTGTTCACAGTTAGTATCTATCTATATCAAT